TTACATTAGGAAAAACTTTTTCACTAAGAGGGTGGTGAAGCACTGGAATGGGTTACCTAGGGAGGTGGTGGAATCTCCTTCCTTAGAGGTTTTTAAGGTCAGGCTTGACAAAGCCCTGGCTAGGATGATTTAGTTGGTGATTGGTCCTGCTCTGAGCAGGGGGTTGGACTAGATGACCTCCTGAGGTCCCTTCCAACCCTGATATTCTATGATTCTATGTATATTCTGTACATCTCTCCGTTCCCTCAGACTAGTGGGAGCTTGAAAGATACCTTCCACAGTTTCCAGGCTTAGGATCTGGTAATGATTGGAAACTTCTAGCTGTATGGAATTCCTCCTGGTCCTCTTCTCTCTGGTGGCCATAGGCTGCCCATCTTCCTTTGCCTCCAACTGTGTAGAATGCAGTAATGATCAACAACTGCATTTTGTTTATACATATTCCTTCCTGACATCTTACTTTCCTCAGCAATTTCTGCTACAGTCTGTGTTCCATTCTTATCTAACACAAGGTTGAAAAACAACATCTCTTACAGTTCTTTTCCACTCGCCCAGGCCCTGCTTGGAAGTCTCACGTTATTAGCTATTAGTTAGCCTGACTCTTGCTCTTCCTGAATGTCTGCTCTTTTTCCAACTTCCACAATTTGAATAACTAATTTAATTAAGTAAATCAGGAGTGGGTCATGGATATTTTGCAAGCAGAAAAAGAGAGTAAATTTGTAGAATAAATTGTTAACTGGAAATTATTTGCCTAGATCTTTGTTTGGTAGAATTTAGCATTTCGAATAAGTGGTTGCTCGCAACATATCTTAACCCCTTATAATTAATAACCTCTCCCACCTCATATTTAGCTGCGGCACTCTGATTATCTTTTCCAGGCCTGAAGAAAAGCTCTGTGAGGCTTGAAAACTTGTGTCTTTCACCAACAGGAGCTGGCCTTGTTTGTCTCATATTCTGGGACCAACACGATTATAACAATACTGCAAAGGCTGAACGGAGTAGGAAGGAATAAAGATACTGAAAGCTTTGGTGTTCCCTTTCTTCCCCATTGAGAGTTGCAGAGGAGATAGAGCAGAACTGTTATTATTAATCAGCAACTCAGTCTGAGTTTTAGCTTTATTTTCATGTTAAGTGCAGTAACTGTGTCTGCCCATGGTCACAGCTGTTCAAAGCCATCTCAGATTTAAAGGGACATTGTCAAGTTGTTTTAAAACATTCAGATTTTTGACAGAGCACCCTTTAAATAGCATGGACAGGATGTTTTTCAAAAATTCCTTTTTACAGTATTTCCGACTCTTGTGATATTTGGTGGCTATTTTTACACACACACCCAGTCTTGGAGTTGGGACATTATGTGAGAATCTTAGCTTTCATTAAAAGGTAAGTGTCTGGGCTTGCAAATGTGAACTCTAAAGGCAAATAAGACTCCAAAGTTATTTTTTATATGCTCATGATTTTTTGGGCCTGACTCACAATGTTTGAACACTTGGGGTTGGCAATGCTGCTTTAATATTTTTTTATATAAGGCTTTTCCTGCTCCCTTGGGCAGACCTAGCAGCAATACCAACAACCCTGTGCAGCCTCTGACCTCTACCCTTCCCCTGCCCCTTCCTCTCTGCACACACCTCCCATTTCAGCTGTACTGATGTTATTACCAATAAACAACCACTTGTGGGGTCTGGGGATGAGCATAGCCACGAGCTCCACCAGCACCAGGCCCGGGGAACACTGCCTATGAGTTCCACTCCCTAATGAGTGCATGAGAGTTCTGTCAAAGTGGAATTGCTACATATGTTTCCTCTAATCTCTTTCATTAATAGGAATCTTTGGTACACAAATTTCAGATAGAAATGTGACCCTGCCCCTTTTAATATGGGTTGTGGGAGGCAATCCATGCAGATGTGTCTGCAGACATTCTGAGTGCAGAGATGGCATATGTTACCTATGAGACTCTTGCCACTTCAGAACTTCAGCTTGACTAAGAAATTACAGAAGCATTAGGTGATCAGCTGGCAACGGGACTCTAGTCTGAAGATAAGAAAGAGGGAAGACTAGCTCTCATATTTCATCATTTCACACAAATCGCATAAAAGGTTGTAGTGGACCAGATCAAAACTTTGCTGCCAGGGAAGTGGTACCTATTACAGTTACAGCTCTGGGCTTAGTTAGAGCTTCTGGCTCTGTGAATCAGCATTTGGCTGTGGCACAAGATAGACAGGCACTGGGGGAGTTTTCAGAGACTTCAGGATTAGCAAGTGAACTAGACTTGCGGAAGAGTCTATATTTCCACACTGCTGACTGAGCCTTCTGCTTATACCATGTACTTCAGTGCCCAGAGCTGTCAAACCTTCTAATGTCTGTCACAAACCTTTATTTATATTATGCTACTTCCTACAGCTCCATCTCCTGGGCCAAAAAAATAATCCAAGGGCAAATGAAAATGTAGTTTGGAAATGATAAACCCTAGTTTTGCATCGGAAAGTGATACCATAGTAACTGCACCTATGCCTCTGCACCCTCCTTCTGCACTCCATCTCTGCAGCAGGATTCCAGCAGGCTCAGTGCTTTATATTATTGTGATGCTATTTGTGGAGGATAGTCCATCAATGCCTATTAGCAAGATGGTCAGGGATTCAATCCCATGCTCTGAGTGTCCCTAGACCTTTGATTGCCAGAAACTGGGAGTGGATAACAGGGGATGGATCACTTGATTGCCTGTTCTGTTCATTCACTCTGAAGCACCTGGCACTGGCCACTGTTGGAAGACAGAGCACTGGACTAGATGGATCATTGGTCTGACCCAGTATGGCCGTTCTTATGTACCAAGCAAGGAGTGAAAACTCAGCATTGGCCATCAGGCAACCTTATTTGCCAATCCGGAACAACACTCAGCAGCACACTACTTTGTATCTTCAGCTAAACTCTCTTCCTTCAGGCTGTCTCCATGAAGAGGCCTGGACTAAGTTGTTTCCTGGTCCAAGCTGAGGAGCAGATAGCAGGTCTCCAGGTGGTCAGGGCCCATTCGATGTTCAAAATGAGGCTGCAGATCCTCAGGGGTGAACTGGGCCTGACCTGTGATTTCATCATACAGAGAAGGTCCAGCCTCACCTGCAGGCAAGTGACAAAGAGATGAGTTCAGATGACCCCAGGCGGGTATATTCAGAGTTGGGCAATGTAGTATGGAACCTTGCTTCTCACCTCACTTGTTCAAACCCAGCCCAGCTGACTAGGGACTGAAGGCTGACACTGCCCATTGGTCATTCAGTAGTATTTCTAGATCTCATGCCACTTTCTGGTAGATAGATGTCTACAGTACCAAAACTGCTGCTGTACCTTGCACTTAGTATGGCAGGGACAGCTGATGCCACATCAGGGTGATGGGAAGGAATTAGCCAAGCTGCAGTCTAGTCTCAGCTTTGCCCCGATGCACTGTGCAGTTTGGGGTGTGTCACATGACTTTTTGGCTTCAGTTTCCCCAACTGTGAAATGGAGATAATGATTATTAGCTACCTGAGGGGTGATCGGGAAGTTCACTGGTTTCAAGTGTGTACAGTGATTGCGCTGGGGATGGACTGTGCTAAGTGTTACCCTACCCTCTCTGGCAGACATAGCAGAAAGAATGGGCCATAGTGACTGCACTTCACTCCCCCAAGTCGTGTCTCAGAGCCCCCCAGAAGGTACCAACGGTAGCATTAGGGAGGTGGGTGGAGTCACCCCCCACTCCTACTTCCCACCTGGGGCCTCAGGCTAACGTTGAGCTTTTGAACCTAGGGGTCACTACGCCAGTGCCCTGTGTGGAATGATGCAAAGGATTCTGGGACAACGTGTGTGAAGGAGAGAGGTTGTGGGTAGTTGAATTCCTTCACAGCATGGAAAAAGCGGAGGACCTTTTTCACAGCTCAGCTTGTCTCCTGCAAAGCAGAAGCCCAGGAATCAGATGAGCCTAGCCTCCTTGTCCGTCCCCTGCAGGCCTGCAGTTAGTATGGAAAGGCAAGAAGATTAGTAGTTCCTAGTGCATTTACTGGCTTTCCAGTGTTTCCTCACCTTTGCATGTCTCCCACAAAGTCTTCAGGGTGGAGGAGAGATCAGCAGGCCCTTGGTGATCCATCTGTTCCTCCTGGAATGCCTCATTGTCAGCTGGCATCTTGATCGCACAGCGAGCATTGCTCACCACGTCCTCCAGGCTGGTCTCCTCAACCTCCTCAAAATCATCAGGGTAATCGGTCAGCTCCGCCTCATCCTTCCACTCTGCAGCGGGAGGGGCAGGGGAGCCCCAACAGCATTAATACAGTCTCAGGCTGCTCTTGGTGCTGCTTTCAGACTAGAGTCACGCTCCTCTGCATCAAATATCCCCCACCCCACGATACACAACTCAACCTGCTGGTCTGCACACACGCTGCACCCACCTCAGTGCCCAGCTCCACGCTCCCCCAACACACTCGCTTCCCCTGGCATGTCACACACATCACCTGCCCCTACACAGCACCTCTTCAACACACACAACCTTGTGCCCCAACACAACACACACCTCCTCACACATGCACATCACACCTCACCACCCTTCACTCCCTGGCCCACCGCCACGCCATCTCCATATCACATTACGCAGACCTTCGGCCCTTGCACAGGGGATGGCCTCAGTTCAGCTGGGGGGAGGCCCTGTGCATGTCTCATGCCAGGACTGCACACCTCCCCAACAGAGACAGAGAGGTGTGGGACAAGGCCTCCCTGCTACCCTACTTGAAACATACCCTGAGAGGGCAGGACTAGCTGGCTCCCCCAGAAGGCATGTGTTTGCCAGTGACCTATGCCAGTGGTTCTCAACCAGAGGCTTGGAGCTCTCTTGGGGCCGTGAACAGGTTTCAGGGGGTCCACAAAGCATGGCCAGTGTTAGACTCACTAGGCCCAGGGCAGAAAGCCAAAGCCCCACTGTGCAGGACTGCAGCCCAGGGTCTCCAGCCCCACAATCCAGGGCTGAAGCCAAAGCCTGAGCTTTGTGGTGCCCCCTGTGGTATGGGACCCCAGGCAATTGCCCTGCTTGCAACCCCCTAATGCCGCCCTGGCTTTCATATACAGAAAACCCGTTGTTGTGGTACAATTGGGCCGTGGAGTTTTTATAGCATATGTGTGCGCATAGGTGCCAACTTTTCCCGGCGCCGGTGGGTGCTCGCACTGCCCTGCCACACCCCGACTCCACCATGCCCTGCCCCTGCCCCTGCCCCGTCCCCATTCCAACCCCTTCCCCAAAGTCCCCGCCCCAACTCCTTTCCCTCCCTGCCCCTATTGGACTCCTTCCCCAAATCCCTGCCCTGGCCCCGCCTCTTCCCCCCCGCGCTGTGTTCCCCCTGCTACCCCCTCCCTCCCAGCACTTGCCGCCACAAAACAGCTGTTTCATGGTGAGAAGAGCTGGGAGCTAGGGGGGAGAAGCGGCATGCTCAGGGGAGGGGGAGGAGGGGGAGGAGGTGGAGCGGAGGCGAGCTGGGGCAGGGCGAGGAGCTACCGGTGGGTGCTCAGAACCCACCAATTTTTCCCCGTGGGTGCTCCATCCCCTATGTGTGTGTGTGGT